TCTCCAATCTATTTTGAATAGCTAACCACTACTATTGAATATCAAGTACGCTTCACCCTCAGCGAGCGGACTGGAAGGTTTTTCTTAAGATATGGAAGTGCATTCCAAACTTCATCACTTTGAGAGATTCTGCAACCAAAGTGTTTGATGCAGGAAAATCTATCTCATTTTTAATTATCTTCTGCAAAACACACCATCTGACCTCATCAATACAACCCATGATCAGCGATTTTTCAAGCGTTGTTCTCACCGCTAAAACTTCTACACCTACGGAAAACTCTTTCAAACCTCAATCGCACAGGCTTTGCTATTTTGTGTCAAGATCCGATCAAACGTTCGTAACGAAAATACTATTGAACGCTTGATTCATAGTCTTTCAAAAAACTCCTAGGTTCGCCTCTAGCAGTCTTATTCAACTTACTACGCTTCGCATTTGACATTTGTTGTAGTTTACGTTTCAGGACATCACAGTTCTCGGCTTATGGCAGTTTAATTCGGATTTTTACGGGTTTTGCTTGATTTTAGACTGACATCATCAATTAGTCATCGATACCGTCCCACAATGAGAATTCGCCATTTTATAGCTTTCGAAGACAACTACATGTATCTGATAAGCGATGAAAAGACATCGGAATGTGCCGTGGTCGATCCAGCCGAACCCGATCAGGTGAAAATGACTTTTACTACTTAATGAGATGATCATTGTTCTTCTGTACAGTTGGTCGAAGTAATTAGAGCAGAAGGTTTGAAATTAACAACAGTGCTAACGACACATCACCATGGTGACCATGCTGGAGGCAACAACAGATTACTGTGGTTAATGGGTGCTGCAAATGGTCAAATCAAAGTTATAGGTGCAGATCCATCACTGCAAGGCCTCAATCATCGAGTGAAAGATAACGAAAAGATTAAGGTTGCATGGTTCTTTCTTAAATTTTTTTTCATCTTACTTCAACTATCTCTAGATTGGAAACATCGAAGTGACGTGTATTTTGACACCATGTCATACAGTAGGTCATGTTTGTTATCTAGTGACAGGTGAGAATAGTATCTTCTTTGCAATTGATCTTCTGTTAATTATTCTTATAATTTGTGTGAAGATGGGCACGAACAAGCAGTCTTCACTGGTGACACACTATTTAGTGCAGGATGCGGCTTATTTTTTGAAGGTACTGCCGCACAAATGCAATCAAGTCTTAAGAAATTGGCACAACTTGATCCGAATACGGTCTGTGTCTCATCAGTACAATTCGGCCGAAATGTCCATTTTTCTGATATTCTAGCTAGTTTATTGTGGCCATGAGTATACCAAGGAGAATATGGTATTCGCTGTTATTGTCGAGCCGGATAATCCAGATGTGAGAGCTAAGGAAGCTAGCCTCACATCGGTTAATATACCGTCGACTATCGGCGACGAACTCAAATTCAATCCGTTTATGCGCACCGATCAACCCAGCGTCCAAATGTTTGCCGGAACACATGATCCAGTTGAGTGCATGGCCAAACTGCGTAAAGAAAGAAATAAATATTAGATCGTGTTTCTGATTATCATCTGTGAAAGCGATTCGTTCTAAGATCAATAAAATCACGACATTCTTCTTCATATTCGAGTGAAATAGATTTGATTTAACTGTTTCTTTTCAGATGACGACCAGCTCAAGAACTAAAAGGGAGACGATGATCGCTGTACAACTAAAACGATAAGAATGCCATGCAGTGTTTTATCCAGGTTTTTTGCTCCGGGGGGGGGGGGGGGGGGGGGG